ACTGAATTCTAGCCACAGTTCAGCTCATCTTTTTCGGTTCTGTTGTTATGGATTCTCCAATTGCATTGTGGTTCAGACTGCCACAATATGAAAATGTTTCCTGGCTGGATTTGATATCAATAATAATGGAAAACCAGTTGCTCCAGCTCAGTCTCTTTCAAGAACAGCAGTTAAAGGAGAGCAATATAAAATTGTTCGGGCCATAAACAGGAGAATAAAAGGTGATAATTCATTATGATGCTTGCCTTTGCCATTATGGGCCATGCAAATGCATCGTTGCATCACCATCACTGTTATCATCAGTTTACCATCAGGCCAGGAAGTTTTCCATCCTAGAAAATCTCTCTCTGCTATTGATGACTGAATTCTAGCCACAGTTCAGCCATCCTTTTGGTTCTGTTTTTATTGATTCTCCAATTTCATTGCCATTCAGACTACAACAATATGAAAAATTTTTGGTGGCTGGATTTGATATCAATGAAATAATGGAAAACCGGTTGTTCCAGCTCAGTCTTTCTTTCAAAAGCAGCAGTTAAAGGAGGGCAATATAAAGTTGCTCAGGCCATTTCAGAAGAAGAAAGAGATGATGATCATTATGATGCTCGTCTATGCCATTACAGACCAAGCAAATGCATTGCATCATCATCAGGTGAGGGAATTTTCCGCTTTAGAGGAGTTCTCTTTGCTTTTGAGCATGCACGGTAAACGGATATGGACTGCTTGAGTTACTCCAGAGTCAAATGTCCCCCTCTTGATATACTGCTAAATTTTTACCATTTTTTCTACATATGATCTGTTTACATTTCCCAATATCTTTACAGAAAATAAACTGATTCCATCATATATATGCTAATAAATTTTCTTACAGATTATAAACTGTTTTTTATCAATCTACATCTGTATGCAAGTCTACATCCACGATGCATGTTTGCATTTCTGCAAGTGTTGATATCTCTCTGAGCAGAATTGTTAGCTTGTAATTTTTGTTGTCCTTGTGAGAATTCCTTCTCACAACATAAAAAGAGAAAAAGATTGCTTTCTATGCTCTTTGGTGCCTTGTCTTTTGTCAAAGATTATTTAAAGTATCAAATTGTACAAAAAACTTTTCTTTGACTTATGTGGAAGTATATTAACCCTTGTTAGTTGTTACTTTGTTGTTTTTCCTTTACTGTAAATTGCTTAAGTGTTTGATTTTGTTTTCTTGTCGGGGGAATGAAGTTAATGTGTTTAAGAGATTTGTACCCCCAACTTTGATTGTGGAATCAAGGTTTTAAAGTCAGTAGACATTAGTTCAGCTAAGCTCATATTTTCTGCTGCTGATGTGTTTTTAACTTAGATGAATGGATAATTTCTTTTTTCTGGTACTAACCCTTCAGTATTTAGAAACATTTATTTTTTCATTTATAAAACTTGAACTCTAACTTTATTTAAAGGAAATCAAATCCTTTTTTATTTGGATCAATAAGTTGTTGGTCTTAAATGAATATTGATCTAATGAATGGGTAATGAAGAAGGTGAAACTCTGGTTTTAGTGTCTAAACTCTCTTTGTTTGTAAATCAGCTTTTCATGCAGTCCGAACCGTAAGAAAAGTCTTTTGGATGAGGGACGGGCCTCCCCGTCCTCCCGGATAGTTTGACACTTTGACTGCACTAAACCCTTTTCAAACTTAAAATCTACAGTGAAGTTTGTTAAAATGGGATTTTATCTAAAAGC